TTCCTCAGGAATTTCTCTTCACCTAGGTCTCCTATCCCTCTTCCCCTGCCCTCCCCCGAGAGTGTATCTCTGTCAGCAGGTCTTAAGTCTCTGGCTCTCTGTAGACACTAGAGGATGGCCTTGGCAGGGTGAAGTTGGCCTCTATGAACTAGGGCCTTTGTGTGGGAGGCTAGCCTGTATGCCTGTGTTTGGGGAATGACTTTTGGTTTGTGTCATGTGTAGCTCTATAGGTTGTGTGTGTTTGTGTGTCTGTGTCAGTGGAGTGTGTGTTGGGTTTGTGCACAAAGCTGTGTGTTTGTTGGAGCGTATGTGCCACTACTGATTTTGTGAGTGTGGTGTGTGACAGGAGTTGGGCAGCTGTGTGGGTCTGAGCTGTGCGTCTGGGGTGCATGTGTTGGCTCTGTGTGTTGACTGAGGGGAGGTGCTGGTGTGTTATGTCGATGTGTGTGGGTCATGTGTACACAAGAACTCTGTAGGCTCTGACTGGGATGTAGAGAGCTCAGGAGCAGAGGGCAAGGCAGTTGGCATTGCAAAGAGGCGGCTGTGGCCGCGGGGCGGCGCTGTGGCGAAGGCGGGCGGGAGTGTGGTCAGAGCCCTGCAGGGCCGAAGTGCGCCGGGAAATCGGAGCTGTCGAGAGGATCTGGAGGGATCCCCCGAGTCCGGATGCAAGTTCGGGGTGCAGTGAAGGAGCGTGAACACTGGACTCTGGTAGTTGGGGCTCGAGTGTGCCTGGTGGCGCCCAGCATGAGGGATAAGGGGACTGCCGCGGAGGAGCGAGTGGCTGAGAGGACAGGACAGAGCAGGGGAGGACTGGCGGCCCCGGGGGCCTGGCCCGGATGGCGCCAGCCGAAGAGTTAAAAGGCCGTCGCTGCCTCTCCTCACAGCTCCCTGTTGCGCCCCGGAGGGCTCTGGCAGGGCCCAGGCCTGGGCTGGCCGGGCTCACCTAGGGACCTCTGGTCACTAAAGGGGCCCGGCGTTTGGATGCCTGGTCTCCTGTAGGTCTCCTGGGCAGCCTGAAGCAATCCTCCCAGGATCAGCGATCCGAGCCACGTACCCTGAAACTAGGCACTCTGAACTCGAGCCCCACCCAGCCTCCCTGGTCGCAACTGCCTCAGCCCAGCCACCCACGCCCAGGGCTCTGGTGCCCTAAGTCCCCAACCCAGGGCAGTGTCATCCCCGGCCCAGCTCCCAAGCTGCGCCTGCGGCTCCAGTCCTGGGCCTCCTCGGAAACGGAATTTGCCAGCTAGGTTCTGTGAATTTCCCAACAACAACAACAACAACAAAAAAAAAAAAAAAAAAAA